TGGTGACACCATGAGTCAGTGGTCAAGCGTGGACTGGCCCAGAAGTCCTACCTCTCTCTTGGGTGCATTTCTGCAGATGGACAGTCAGGGCAGAGCACACAGCATTTGGGCATCACCACAACCTTCACATGACTTCTTGTCCCTTTTAGCCCATTTTCCAAAGTGGATCGCAGTGATCAGACCTCAGCAGCTCCCTGTTTTAAACCCTGCAGTGGTCCCTCAAGACCCTCAAGCTAGAAGCCAGACTCCCCTAGGGCTCGCAAGGCAGGTCCTCCCAGCCTACACCCCACCACACCGCCTGTGTGCCTCAACCATCCTTTTCTTCCTGTTAAAATAAACCAGGCTCTTTCGGGCTTTTTTCCATGTCTTTGTACATGCTGTTCCTTCTGTCTAGAACACTGTTCCCGCCCCTGTTCTGTAACTGGCCTCTTAACTTCAGGTCTCCGTTGAAATGTTTCTTTGTCCAAGAAGGCTTAATTTCCCTAAACAAGAAGTTCTACCCACCCAGCCCATAATGTTCTCTGTCTCTATCAACTGTATCACAATGCGATATCCTGAATTAGTGGATTCCTTCCTAGCTCTATGAGGGCAGGGCACAGAGTAAGTGCTCAATTAACATCTGTTGCATGGATAAATAGTAGGAAGGACAAGACATTCTGGGAGTCAGAGTGAGAAACCTCATTATGGACTTGCTGTGTGCTCTCAGACAGGTCCTGGCCCTCTGGCCCTGGGGGTACAGTGTACCACTGAGGACTTCCAGGTCTTTCTGTTCTGAGGACACTTAATCCATCTATGTGTGTCACATACCCTTGTTCCCTGTGGCCCTAAGGCAATGAGACTAGCCCAGCTCTGGGCCAGGAGGAGCCAAGGTAGGCAGGGCCTGGAAGCCCTTATCGCCCAGGGACCCTGTCATGCTTTAGTGGCTAGTCTGACACTGTAAGCACTGTCCTAGGGGCCTACGGTGGAATGTGGCCCAAAGCCTCTGTTTTCCCATCTGCTCACCTGCTTTGCTGTGTCCAGGAGGGGCTAGGATGTGTCTCACCATGCATCTCTTCTAGTTCCCGAGGGCCTGGTCTGAGAACATACCTGCTCAGATGTACAGGTTAGAAGGACAAGGACATGAGCCGGGAGTCTCCTTTCTCTGTCTGCCCACCGTGGGAAGTCCCCCTTGTTGTCTGGGCCTCAATTTGCAAGCCTCTATAATGGACACTCTCTCAGGATTCTCCAGGTCCTGACATCCCAAAGGATTGTGCTGGATGCCTGGGACGCATGTACTGCTTCCTGGCCCCAGGCCTGGAGGGCTGGGAAGGGGGGCAGTGCTGGGAGCGTGGGAGAGCCAGATGTGGTGGCCGCTGGCTCTGTGAGTGAGTGTTGAACTGGCCTACTGGGAATTCTCCCACTCAGTCACCCTTTCCGGACTCCCCTCCTCCAGCCCCACAGAGCACTGTGGCTTCCGGCCTGATGAGTGCGTGGGTGGGGGGTCGGGGGCTGGTTAGTCTGCCCGACTCCCTCCTTCAGGGAAGAGCTTGGGCCTGAGAGTCCAGACAGCAGCTTGGCTCCAGTCACTTCTTACACAGGACAAATCTTTGCAGAATGGCTTTCCACCCAGGGTCTCAGCAGGCAATGCTCCCCTCAGGTCCTGATGCACCCCACTGCCAGCAGCAGACACCACACCTGAGAAAGCCTCCTTTGGTGGCCTCTTCACCCTGCTGCGGTCCTTGCACAAAATGCCTTCTGTGCACTCAGGCCTCTCTGATTGTGAGGTGGGACATGTATGCCCATTTTACAGCTGAAAACTCAGAGATTCAACTCTGACAGAGAGATGTGCCCAGGTCCCACAGGCTGGAAAGGGCAGAGCAGAGTTGGGGCTGCCCACATCTTGACTTAGGTGTTTAATCCCTGGATAGGCCTCACTGCAAAGGAACTGCACCCCAAGTCTTCCTCTGCACCGCATACCATTCCTCTTCAGCCTGACTTTCCACACTCCCCACTCTGCCCATCTCTTGAGAGTACACAAGGGAAACTGAGGCCCAGAGAAGGGAGCTGCGACTAGAAGAAAACTCCCTATTTCTTCTTCTTCTTCTTCTTTTTTTAAGATTTATTTATTTGTACATACAGAACTGGGGTACAGGCCAGAGGCTCAGAGGTGGTGAGAGGCTTCACCAGAGACAGAGCTGGGAGCAGAACAGGCAGATCGACGAAGTACACTGCTGAGGGGAGCAGCGGGTGGGTCAGGAGAGGTCTGCCACGCCATGTGGTCACCTCCGGGGCAGGCGGGAATCGAACTCATGCGGAAGTGGCTTTAGCTTCTCAGTGCAGTGCTTTAAACTGCTGCGCCACCAGGGAGGTCCTCTTTTTTTTTTTAAGATTTATTTATTTATGCATATAAGAACTGGGCCAGAGGTACACGGATGGTGAGAGAATTCACCAGAGACAGAGTGGGGAACAGAACAGGCAGATGGATGCAGAGCACTGAGGGGAGCAGCGGGAGAACAGGAGAGGTCTGCTGCGCCAGGTGGGTCAGCTCCGGGGCCGGGGATCGAACTTGCACTGAAGTGGTTGGCTTGCAGTGCTGCACTTTAGCCCACTGTACCACCGGGGAGGGCCCCGAAAACTCCCTATTTCAACAGTAACATTTCCAGGAACTACTCTAAGCCCTGTAAATACCTCACAAATCCAAGAGTCTCAAGAATCATTCCTCTGATTAGCTCCATTTTCCAGAGAGGGAAACGGGCTCAGGAGTTTAAGTGACTTGCCCAAGGTCATGCAGCTTGGAAATACAGAAGCTGGGATTGAACACTGTACATCTCTGGCTCCAAATCTGCTCCTCTCAGTCCTGGCCCTCCTGCCTCAGCTGGCCAGCCCTCCGTGAGTGCCGACGCTCCCTGGGGCCGAGTCCTCACCACCTTCACCACCTCTCAGCTGAGAGGAGGCCGAAGAGCCCTGATGCCAGCCAAGGGTTAATGGTGGTAGGGGCTAAGTGATTCCAGATGGGCCAGCCGGACTGTGGGGCTGGCCGGAAACCAGCGGCTGCCAGCTTCCCCGAGGGAGCCACCATGAGCTGCCCCCTCCCCTCGGTGCTGCGTCTCTGGCCCCCAGCTGTCCCCCTGCCCTGGGGCCCACCAGCCTGTTAAAGCCCAGCTCGAAGGAACTTGGAGATAGAACGTTATGTACAGATGGGGAAACTGAGGCTCAGAGAGGACAAGGTACCCAGCATTTCTGGGGACTAGGGTGGCATCACCTCTGCGCAACCCTGAACTCATCCTGAGCTCGGCAGTTAGGCCAAGTCTTTGCAGGTGAAGACTTGTCCTAGCATCACAGGACAGATGCTAGGAGGGGCATTGGAAAGGAGCTTGGGGACACAAGAAATCCATGTGGGCCTGGTTCTGTGGTCTCTGCAGTCCCCCTGTGACCTCACTGCCACCAGGCCCCGGCCCAGGCTCTCCCTCTCATGGCCTGTACCCATGGCCTGTGGTCAGTCTGAGAGTCCTTCTCCCTCCAACCCAGACACTCTTCAGAATAATCCCTATTGGGGTGAGATGAAGAAATGACCTTATACAAGATAGGGGACTGCGGGTGGCCTGGAGTCCCAGCTCAGGTTGCCCCTGCTATCTGGTAACAGGGCCCTGGGGTGGCCCTTGAGAAGAAGGTCCAGAGGTGCAGAGGGTAGGGTGAAAGGGGCCCTGGGAAGAGTCAGATGCTCTCTGCATGACCCTGGATACCTTTCTTCCCCCCTCTGGGACTCAGTTTCCCCATGGACACATGGGGCAGAGGCAACTCGAAGTTACTTTGTGAGCCCTTCTAAAGTGATGCCCCCTGGCACCTAAGAGAGCCAGTGACTAGACACTCCTGAGCAATGGGGGTCATAGAGTGGGGGAAACAGAGACCCTGAAGGGGTTCTGGAGGATCCGGGGCAGCTCCCAGTGGAAGAGAGGGTTTGAGGGCAGAAACAGAACATATGTCTGTTGAGTGACTGAATGAGACAGTGAAAGATTAACCCACGAGGAGGCAGGATACTGCAATCTGGGTCTCCCTTGGGGGACAGATCACCTGTCTGCCCCCTCATGGAACACTGAGACCTGGCTCTTCTCCAGCCATTGCTCGGGAAGCTCACTGCATACCCCTGAATCTCGGTTTCCTCCTCTATAAAACAAGAGAATAATCCTTGGAATTATTAATCTATTATTAATATAGATTAATTATTAATTTAGGGAATTTGGAATGACAGAAACATGTCTAGAAATGGGACATATGCTGGGTGACCTTGGGCAAGTCTCTTTCCCTCTCTGTGCCAATTCATCCTAGGCCTTGATTTCTCATTCTGAAAAGTGACTAATAATCTTGGAAGGTCTTTGTATTTCTACCAGAAACTCTCTGATTCCCTTCTCTTGGCTAGGGGCGCCTCAGGCCCCTGATCTCCCTGGGAGCACCTGGCATCTTTGTCTGCCTCGTCCTGTAGCCTGACACCTTGAGGTCAGGAGCTGTGCCTTAGTCCTGACTGTGTTCCTGTCACCCAGTGCAGTGTGTAGCACACAGTAGGTGCTCAGCGTGCTTGTACAATGAATGAATGCTGGCTGAATCAATCATATAGGTTAACAGATCTCCCTTTACAGTTGGGGAAACTGAGGCACAGAGAAGGTACCCACCCCCAGGTATCATGGCGAGGGGAGGCTGCCACTGGCAACAGCCGGGGCACTCTTTAATAAAAGTGACTCAAGGGCTGGCTGGCGTGGGCTGTGGAATTTCTAAACAACCCCTCACATCCTGAGAGAGCAGGCTACAGGAGGGAAAAGAAGAAAAACAAGAAACTTGGGGAAAAAAAGGGAAAAGAGGGGAAAAAAATTGAAATTGAAAACAGACTCACACATCCATCCTCTCCGCCCCCCACCCTCCCTTCTACTGGCTGGACCAATCAGAGGCCGCCCTGCAGCCTTTCCCCCAAAGTAGGGGGGGTGAGACAGGGAAGCCCACAGTGGTGTGAGCAGTCCCTGCCCGCCCCGTCTGGGACCAGGATCCCTCTGTGAGCAACTTAGAGAAGAGAGGAGGACGAGGAGGAGAGAGCCCCGCTCTTCCACGGCGCAGCAGGCCGGCAGCCTGAGTGTCACAGACTGCCAGACCCAGGGCACCCCTTCGGGCAGCTCTGCCCCTCCCAAAGGATGCTTCGGGAGTGAAGCCACTCCTCACCCCTCAGCCCCTCACTCCCTCCGCTCTCCCCAGGCTCTTGAAGCCAGCAACAGTCCCTCCTGCCCTCTTCTCCAGGCCATTGCTGGATCGCTCTGATTTGGATCCAGCTCTGCTTTCTGATAACGGGAGAGGGCAGCGAGGACTACCTGGAAGGGTGACAGCCCAGAGCCAGGACTATACCTGCACCAGAGAGCATCCGCTGCTAGGTAAGTGTGCCAGAGGTGGGGCCCCAGCTCCCATCCTGTCCCCTGACCTCAGCAGCGCCTTCAAAAAATGGAAAATATTTTTAACAAAACCAGATGGGAGGGGGCTGGGAGGCTGTGGACGGCCCGGCTGGAGGAGCCAGTTCCCTCCTGCTCAGGCTGCTGGGGTGGGCAGCAAGGCCTCTTCAACCCTGTTGCCCTGTCCTCATCAAATAGACCCCAGAGTTTGTGGGTACTGCCACCCAGTGGGAATCTCCAAAACATAGCACCGCCTGGAGGAAGTAGGGGAGGACCCGGAGGGGTGTGAGTGAGGAATTGGAGAGAGAAGGCAAGGGACACTTAAGGGGGACCTAGCAGGGGACAGAGGACCTCACAGCACAGCCTCAGTAGGGGGGCCCAAGCCTTGTCCCTAAGAATCTGCCTGGCTCTAGGCCAGCCTGCCGCCAGGCAACCTCTGGGGATTTAAATGGATTTGCAAATTTTCCAGATTCCTAAGATGTCCTTTCAAACCCCCAGCGGCTGGGAAAGTGTGAAGGCGAAGGGGCCCCAGGCCCCAGCAGGCCTAATCTAGTGCTTCTGGGACCTGTCAGATAGGAGGGCCCCTCTTTGCAGAACCTGGGGGTTGGCTGCGGGACCCTTCCCTGCAATGCCAGGCAGCTGCTCCGGTCTTCCTTCTGGATACTGCCCCTTCTCCACTCCGTTCCTAGAACAGAAATCTGATGGTGATTCCTTCTGTGGTTCCCCTGTAGAAAGCCCCAGCTCCTAACAGTGGCTGCCACTGATTGGCACAGCATGCCAGGATGTGCTAAGTGCTTTATAAGCATGATCTCATGTAACGTTCATGTAACCAGCAGATCTAGAGGCAGGGGCTGACCTTATACCCACGTGACTCATGAAGAAACCGAGGCTCACAGCCGCCACTAACTGTACCACTCACCCAGTAAGCAGCCAGGGTCCAGAGAGAGTAGCCTCCTTGCCCCAGACATGGACTGTGTGTTCCTGCCAGTCAGATCTCAGGGTTCCCAGAAGGAATGTCTATCATCCTATCCATGGGCATTCGCCTCCACTGTTCTTTCAAGAATCCTTCCACTCTGCTTCCTCCAGGCAGTCTTCCTGGATGCTCCCAGTCTTCCAAGTGCTTGTCATCCACTTTGGGCCTGGCCTTGTTGCTTCGCCTCTCTTCCTGCGCGTGTTCTGTTTCAAAGAGCGTCAGGTCCCAGACTTCCCCATCACCACTTCTGTCTGCATTGTCCCTGGGTAGGAGCAGTGGGCTGAGAGATTGTGTTAGGGAAAGGAGGGACCTCCAGGAGAACCACCAGACCTCTTGCCTTCTCTCAAGTGCTTCCAGAACGTCACAGTTTCTCCAGACCAGGTGTGTCCATTTCAGACAGGGAGGAGTATCCTTGCCTGCCTTTGTGGCCCCAGGCAGAGAACTTGAGCCCATCTTTTGGCATCCTGCTCCGTGCTGGAGAGCTGGGCATCTACTATAAGAATACTTAGCCCGTGTGGGACTGGGATCCTATATACTGGCTTCCCCATCGTAGGTCTTGGGAATCTGTATTGTCACACCTCCATTTTACAGACAAGAAAACCAAGGCTCAGAGAGGCTAAGTGATTTTCCTAGGGTCACACAGTCGAGTGGATATATAGGTTTTGATTGGCCTGAACCCAAAGACTTAACACCCTGGAAACCCAAGAAGCCCCCCATCCCCGCCCCCACCCAGTGGTGGAAAGTACCTTCACCCCCTGCAGGCCTGCTCCTGACTCTAGCACCCTCCAGCAGAAAGTGTAACTTCAGGCCTGCCCTGCTCCCAGGGCCCTGGCTGGCCTGTGGGGAAGGAGACCACTAGCCGCCCCTCCCTTTGGTGCGATCAGCAGCCCTCCCCCTCTGCGGGAAGACCAGCGCAGACTTGTAATTGGCCACAGATGTGGGGCAGCAGACAGCCCCGTGGATTCAGTCAGGAGTCAGGAGTCACTTCTCTCTGTGCCTCATCTGCATCTGGGGGAGCCATGGGTTTGGCAGGTCAGAGGACCAGGCATTAACCCCTGGCTCCACTGGCTGACCGCAGGGCCCCGGGCTGGTGCTGTGCCCTCTGGCGTAGCCCCTTGGGAGTGGCAGGGTCCCACGCAGGGGGCAGGCGGCAGGTGACAGTCCCTGCACTTCCTGGGCTGAACCGAACACCAGTGGCCCAGAATGCCCCTGAGGGGCTCCATAGGCCACTCCCTCACCCCAGGCTCCCTCCACCCTCTGTCTTCCAGGCTGAAGGAGGGGACAGGCCATAGGCTGCTGACTGGGGAGAGGCGGGCGGGAGGGTTGAGAGGCACCCCTGAAGTGTGCCCTTTCCCCTTTTCTATTTTTTTTTTAAGTTTTATTTATTTATGCATAGAAGAACTGGAGTTTAGGCCAGAGGTGCAGGGGGTGAGAGGATTCACCAGAGACAGAGTGGGAAGCAGAACAGCCTGATCCACTGAAATCCTCTGCTGAGGGAGCAGCCGGCAGGACAGGAGAGGTCTGCTTTGCCCTGTGGGTCAGCTCGCTGGCAGGGATCGAACTCGCGCTGCAGTGACTGCAGAGAGCTTCATAGTGCTGAGACTTAACCTCTTGTGTTACCCTAGGAAGGCCCCCTTTTCTGTTCCTTGCACACAGTTTAGAAATGGTGGGCCAGAGACCCATGGGCTGGAGGGAGATCTTCCTCCACTTTTTTCCACAGTGAGCCCACCATGGTGGGGGTGGGGGACAAGAAGGGCACTGGGTACTCCCCAGCGTTAGAACTTGTGGGGCTCAACTGGGGAGCAGACTGACCCTTCTAAGCACATCCCCTGTGATTTACACCTACTGCTACAGAGTCCACTGCCGTAGCCCTCAGCTCGGAGAAGAGCTAAATGCTTAATCAGTATTTGCTGAACAAGTTAATCATCACAAACCTTGAGGAATGACTAGAGACACCCCATATTACAGATGAAGGGATGACCAGAGAGGTTAAGTCAGTTGCCTGCGGCCACACAGCAAGGAAGTGGTGGAAGTGGAATTTTTTACTGGCTGTTTCTAGCTCCGGAGCCCCAGATGAGGGGCTTGGGGGTGAAGGTCGGGGGGAGGGGGCTGGGATAACCCTGGGAATCCAGGGTAATATGTACCTCTGCATGGGGGTCCCTCAGCATTCCAGAGCTGGCATTGGAGTGTACCTGTGGGGGAGCTAGTCCCTCTCTGGACCTCAGTTATCCCATCAGTAAACCAGAAGGTTAAATTAGATGATCTCTGAGTTACATCTGGCCCCAAAGCAAGTCTGGATTCCAAGGCAGGCCAGGCCTAATTGACAGCTGCACGAGCCTGCCGTGTGCTCAGGGATCATGCATATTTAACTTCATAATGAAAGGCTTTTGCTTACCCTCTTCCTACATGTTACAGAAAGAGGTCAGGATCAATGACCACTAATGGAAAACCGTAGTCTGCAATAAGGGGGAGGATCTGGCTGACAATCAAAGCGGCTCATGACTGTACAGTTTCTCGGGGTGCTCTGAGGCTGGCGTCCACAGCACCCATGTGTCCATTTCCCTAGGGCCTTGGACAGGGGGGGCAGAGGGGTGCCTCTTGGGGGCGTGGATGCTGGGATGGTTTGGGTCCCCTCCAGTGGTGATTTTTCCAGCCTCATGTGGTTTGACTTCAAGAGGATGGCAGCCCCATGGTGGATGGACGATGGACGTGGTCCAGAGGTAGAGAGAGCAGGCTGCCCGCCTACTCATGGCAGGGGTGTGGAACTCTCACTACTTGTTCCTGGTGAGGAAAGCCTCCTCAGCCCCAAGACTCAGCCCCAGAAGCCTCAAGCAAAAGTCTTTTTGAATGCCCAGTCCCTAGCCTCAGAACCTCTTCCTCCATGCTTTCTGGAGCACCCACCCCACCCCCCAGGGCAGGCGGCTGGTAATCAAAACGTATTGCTTTGTCTGCATTAATCAGACAAAATCCTTTCTTCTCCCTTCAGATCAGGGCTATGTGATGTCTCAGGTGCCTGAAACCTTTCATCTGCCAGGGGTGTCCACTCCTCTGCCCTGTCATAGAACAGACTGTTCCTAGGGAACACCAAGATTCAGGGCCCAGGCAGTTTCTGATGGGCAGAGAGAAAAGGACTTGTGGGCTCACCTAGTTCAACTTCCTTATGATGTGTCTGGGAAACCGGGGTGCAGAGGAGGGCACGATGTAGTTAAGTAGTAGCAAATGATCATCCACTGAAGCTGGCCTGGCCCGCCGGCCCAGCTTCCTCTACCCTCCACCTCTGCGTATAGGACTTGGCACGCCCTGGGCTGTGGCCACTGCAGAGTTTGGGCTAAAGAGGAGCTATGCCACCCAGAGGATGGCAAGGAACCCCTGGGAGTCTTCTGAACCATGGAGCCTGTGGTCATGTCCCTTCTGGCCATACTCCCTTTCTGCAAGGGGGTACATGGCTGCCGAAGTTGCCCCCAACTCTGTCCCCCAGACCTCCTCCTGCGCTCCTTCTGGCATATCACTTCCTTGCTCTCCTGGCTACCTCTGGTCCTGAGAAACCACCCTGCCAGCTTCTCTACTCCTGAGGCCTAAGTGCAAAACCAGAGGGCAGAGGTTTTAGAGGCCGGGGCCCCTCCTACCCATGGCATTGGACCATAGGGAAAGGCTCAGGTGACCCAGTGGATTGTGGGTCATTCCTGCTCGCCTGTATTGCTGTTCTTATCAACCAGCAAGCTGGGCCCTGTCTGCCGAGTGAAAAGCAAAACAGAGATAAATAATTGAAGAGAAGGATGACATGATTGGTGAATGAAGGGTGCATGGGGGAGGTGCGGATGGGTGGCCTCAGCTTCAGTCCAGAGAGCCGGGCTTGGTGAGCACGCAACCCGTGCAGCCACGGAGGCCTTCGTGCTCAGGGGGGCCTTGCTTGTAAAGTTCCTCATCATTTTTTAACAGGTGACCCTATATTTTCATTTTGCTGTCAGCCCCACAGTTATTTGGCCGGTCCTGCCAGGGGTTGCAGGCTGGG